AGAGTCCCCAGGTCCTCTGGCTGCTCGGAAAACTGGCCACAAATAACTCCTGCTGWGGGAAGGGATCAACTGCTGCAAACTCCACAACCCAGAACCATGAATGGGAGAAGCCACAGGAATATTTTTAATATTAATACCAGTATTTATATTCACATTATATAACATATAACATATAATTAATATAATATATAATAAATATATAATATGTAATATATAAGATACAATATATTATATACATAATATATAACAAATATATAATGTATATTGCAGAATATACAATATATATTATATTATCTGTAGCATATTACATATAATTATATGTTACATATAAAATTTATATATTATGTAGTGTATATGTTAATGTATTATAATAACGATAATAACAATAACGAGAATAATGATAATAATGATAAAATTTTAACAATAATAATAATAATAATAATGATAAAATTATAACAACAATAATGATAGTAATAAATTAATAGTAGTAGTAATAAAAATAATAATAACAGATCCAAACTTACTTGCCCAAGGCAAAGCACTCCAATTTCACCGTTGTTCCTTTYGCAGACGGAACCGTTTCTGGGAACTGCACTTCTATTTTGGGCTCATACTCTCCCATCACCCCTGAGAACATAAAAGGGATGCTAAGGCTTGGTTGAATTTCAGCAGTAAATTCACAAGTGTTCCCGTGCTARCACAGAGCTGTTCCATACATCATTACTTGCCCAATTAATCCATTCATTTTAAACATGGCCTGTTCCTAACAGCCGTGGAGTGTGGGCTCTTTTCCCATTTACTGCCAGAGGAGAAGCTGAACCAACTCTCCACACCATCTGCCAAAGATTAAAATCTCTTCATGGCTCYGGTACTTTTTTTGCTTTTGAATATGCAGGATTTTTGCAGGTAACTTGTGAAATAAGGGGAGCAATAACCRGGGATGTTTAGCATCTTCTGGAATTGAAACAAGGAACAAACAGCCATTAGGAAAAAAGTTTTAAAAGCCCTGGAGTTAATAGAGGTTTCTATTAACTTCCAGGATTTCAATGCACTGAGATCATCTACTCCTCGGGTAATTTCTTTATTTTTTTACTGCCCCAGTAAATCAYGGAGCGTGGCAGCCTCTTTATGAAATTGTGTTTAAAAATTTGTGCACATAAAAAGGCCATTATACCCCTGACAAATGGCTGCATTTCCAGCCACTGCACCGTCCTCAGCCCAGCACATTTAATTGCACCGATAGTGATTATCAGCTAATTGATGATTGCAGTTTTAATCTCAACAGCAGCRCGTCCTGGCCGGTGGCCAAGGAAGGAGAGGAGCTGGGGCTGTGCCCTGCTGCATCCCAGAAATGCAGGAATGAGCCAGCCCGAGCCTGCAGGGACTCTCTGCCCCTTTGCTTTTCATGCAGAATGCAAGAAAACTCTTTTTTTCCTTTATTTTTTTTGGTGATAAAGCTGATAATGCTCAGTATGAGCACCTTTACCTGCTGGCCTGAATGTTCCCCGTTCTGAACAGGTCATGCCAGCTTTGTCCCATCTTTCTCCCAACACATTAATTGCAAATTAATGTTCATTAGAGTAGCTGCTGCCCAGCCTCAGCTGTCCGAATTAAATGAATTTATTAAAAACACGAACACTCTCCCCATATTCGTGTGCTGGCCCACAAAACAGGAAATTTGGGATTCCATGGGGACACTGCAGCCTTTACAAACCCCACAAACAAGAATTATGGGGCAGCCACTCATCAGCCCCTGCACGTTAACACTGCACCCTCCAAAAGCTCAAAATCCTGTCTGCCCAACTGGGACCCGGCCAAATCTTTGCAATCTCACCTGAATTTCTCCAAAATCTGGGTTAAATGTTTGCTGGGTAAACTTCAGCCAAGCCAAAATTGCTGAGATGATAACTGATCTCTCTATATATGTATATATATGTATGTGAATGTATGTTTTATATATGCAAATAAATAAATAAATTATATTCTCTGTAGATAGATCTATAAATAGATAGATATATAGATAAATAGATAAATAAATAAATATACACAGGGTATGAAGTGAATCCTGCTATCTCCTCTTTATAGGAGCAGCATCAGTGCAATTTGGACATTTCCATCCTGAATCCAAGAGCATTTCCATGCAGAAAATCCTCATTTTTMCTGCCGTTCCTGGGTGATTTAACACCTGACTTAGCAGTGCAGGTGGCAGGGAGGGAGGAGGGAACAAAGGACTGAAACAGAGCCAGGTTTGGAGCTGGGAGAACATTTCCAGTGCTGTGGCACATCAGATGCTCCACGTGTCTGCATTTCAAGGCTTTTGTACCTTTCTCCCCATTTCAAAGCTTACAAACGTGTTTTGGGATGGAAGCCCCAGGAATTCAGGAGGAGGATAATTTGTCTGAGGAGATGATCTGCATTTCCTGACAGCACCTGGGAGATGGTGCASTTTAATTGTCCCACGCAGCTGCTGCTGGTGGCAGCTTTCTTTCAGCACTTCCCTTTGCCACTGTTTCAATCCTGATGTCAAAAATCCCAAAAACATTTTAAAGAGAATTAGAGAAGCACTGCACGAGCACAGCTCCCAACACCTGGATGCTCCCAGCAGGTTTTGGAGTGGGATGGGGCAGCCACAGCTTCTCTGGGAACCTATACCAGTGCCTGCCCCTGCTCACAGGGAAGGATTCCTTCTCAACATTCCTTCCCAATATTCCTTCTCAATATTCCTTCCCAATTTCACCCTTCCCCATCAGTTTTCATCCATCATCCCTCATTCTGTCACTSCCCACCCTTGTACAAAGTCCCTCTCCAGCTCTTGCAGCAGGGTTTGCAGAAAAGTCCTATTCTTGGAATATTTCAAAATATTATTTCAACACTGCAAATTTAAACATTTCTCTGGGTATTTTATCTACCCCATGACTCGCTGGGGACTCAGAGGTGCAGATTTGTGTTTACAGGAGCACAGAATTCCCTGTGAGGGAGGGCAAGTGTGGAGCAGAGATGGAAAAGCAGCACCTCCACCCATTCCAGCCCAGCTTTGACAATTCCTCATCCTCAAAGCATTTCCCACTCTCCATCCACAGGGATTGGGACAATGAAGGACAGGAAGCTGCAGCAATGAGCCCCCATTTTCCAAGCAAGGAATTTTTGTCAAAAGACCACGAGGTGACAGTGGATCTTCTTCCAGGAGAAGCTGCTAACAACGCATTTCTATTTCTGGCACAAATGTCCCAACTGTTATCCTTCAAACAGAGACATTTTAATTAATTTTAATTGTGAATTAACATGCAAATGCATTTTTCTTATCTGCTCCAAAATGACGCCGATACAGATCAATTGTCTGTATAAATTTARAAATCCTCTTTTGCTTTCTTCTCCCCTTTTTTTTTTTGTATTATTCCACAGACCACTAAAAATAGCACCAATTCTGCTGGGAAATACAGGCTGAGCTAATAGTTACCGAAACAACAAAGTGCCTTTGTTCACTTTTGGGCTGCATAAAATGAGAAAAACTGGTATTTGAGAAATTGAAGAATCTGAAATATTTTTTCCTTATCTTYGGGCAATTCCCACAGGGTTTTTCTTTTGTAATTATTGCCTGACTTTGGGAGTTGTCCCATTGGTGGGAAGAGCAACTCCATGGACAGCTTGAACAGCTCCATCCTCAATGAGGGGAAAAATCCCTTTACTCCAACAGAAACATTTCAGGGCATTTCTCAATTTCAATATAACACAAAAAAAGCAAGAAAAGCGATCCAGCCCACGCTGGAGGGTCCTACCRTCRTTCCTGAGCACCAGAGGYGTTGGTGGCCCCAGGACRCGGCCRTTGGTCACCGTGTTGGTCACCACRCAGGTGTAGTTGCCCACRTCYGAGCTCTCCACCTTGGCAATGTAGAGGTTTCCAGTCTCCTGTGACACGAAGCGCCGGCTGTCCTGGTGCACGAACGACGGGTACTCGTTGAAGATCCACGCGTAGGTCAGCTCTGAAAGCACAAGGTGATACTGGATCTGTGCTGCCTTTTCCTTTCCTATCTCTTTTTCTTATTCTCTGTATTCTCAGCACTCATATTTGTAGCTTTGTAGACTGYTATTTTAGTTTAATCTTTGGTGTTTTCCTCTGCAGAAAAACCAAACATCCCCGAAGCCTCAGCACTGAGGAGTGTGGAGTGAAGCTGTCGTGGTTCTCCTTGGAAACCAAGGTGGAACCAGCTCTTGGAGATGCATTTTTATAAAAAAAGTTCAGGCCTCATCTGAGGGGGAAAAACTTGGAAGGTGCCAGAACTGGGGCCATGTTCCAGCCCCAGTGGGGATTCTGGTCAGATGCACTAATTTGCAAAATCTATAAAAATTGTACACGTGGCGTGCAGCTTTGGCGTTTCCCACCTGGCAGATTGTAAACCCAAGGATCTCAAATTATAAAGGTAACCCCTGTGTCTGCCTCATCATTCCAGGAGCAGAGAAAAAGGCATCAAAGGGACCAGCTTTGACCAGGGAGAATTGGATGCACCACAACCCATGGAATGATCCCACAAATTCCCACCTGTGACACTTCTGAGCCCGCACAYGGATCTGGTATTCCTGCTACTCCTTCAGCTTCATACAGAATAAAATATATTTGACAGAATCTCACCTTTTTGTCATGAACATTCCAGCCTGACTCATGGCTTTGCTTTCATCCTTCCTAATTAATTTTTCCCCCCTTTAAAGCCAGTTGWGAGGGGGATCTGCCGAGTCGTGTTATCACCCACTGCATGCTTTATTCCCCGGGAATTTCTGATTCAGCAAAAACCTGAACACCGAATTAAGCAGCTGTAATCTTCCCTATGACTAATTAGACATTGCTCTGTGTTTCATGAGGTGTCTTTAGAAGGTATTTGAGCAATAAAAAAAAGAAGTGAGGGATGTTGTAAGCGGCTGCAGGGGCTGGGAGGGAGGTTAATGCAGCCTAACCCTGTTGGATCTGCCTGAATCAAGAGCCCAAACACTCTGAACGAGCCTGAAGTGGATAAGGACCCGCTGCAATTTGCTAAGGGAATGCTCATTATGCTAAAAATCATATTTTTATTGTAATACTCTAATGAGTCGTAGCTGTAATTGACCTCAGCTCCCATTAGGTGYTTTGGAAAATACATTCTGCCCTCACATCCCCCTGTTTGCAGCCAGGAGAGGCTGAATGGGCACTATTGGCTTTTATTTACTTATTTTTAACAACAGGACTCGAAAATGCCTGCTCAGACTTGCAGGAAGAATTGATAATTATGTTTATGAGGGAATATCTAATCATCTTATTTACACATGTGCATCTCCTCAAAAGGAACCTCATGCTGGTGTCAAGAGGATCCTCAGAGCAAACAAGGTGCCACTTCTCAGTCAGCTTATTATTTTCTGCAAGTTAAGTTTGTGCTTTTTTTTTTTTTTTCCTCTAAATTTACTCTTGGTGAACAATTATCTCGCTCCTCCAGAAGCAGTTGGCAATAGGCAAATAAACACCTCTGCCCTGGGATGCACAGAGGGGCTGAGAGTGGAGAGACTTTTCACTCACAAGGTTTCACCAGAGCCCCCCTGAGCTCTGCAGTTTCTGTGGAATGGTGGATGGACCACAGGAAAAGAGAGGGAAGGGAATTCCTGGAGCAATCCCTGTCCCTCTCCCATGAGTTCTTCGGTTTCTGTGGAATGGTGAACGGACCACAGAAAAACAGTGGGGAGGAAATTCCTGGAGGAATCCCTGTCCCTCTCCCAGGACTCACAGGTAAAATTACACCCCAGAAACAGCAGTGTTTGGCTCCTGCTTTTCCCTGTGTGCCTGTAGTAGTTTAACTCCTAAGAACCCTCTAATTTCCAGCTGGAATATTTGCATTGGAGTCTCCAGCCCTGTGCTCGTGGGTTAATGATTCCTCTGGTTTAGAGAGTTCTCATCTCTTTTCTGCTGAGAGCCACGAGAGTCCTTGTGCTGCTGTTTTCAAGACAGCTTCCCCATCCTGTCATCACTGTAGGGGCTTTTCCTGGGTTCTGCTTTGTTAAAAAGTCTGGAATGGGGATGTTTTTGGGGCTGAGAGCTGGGGGAGCAGGTCCCAGGGATGTGCAAGGGTAGAGAGAGGAGATCTGATCATGGGGAGAAACAAAAGGTGACAGGCTGGGATCCCTCCAAAACTGAAGGAGAGCCACTCCTGGAGGGCAAAATATCAAAACCTCCCCCAAAGCCATCCTCAAACTCCGTTAATTTGGCTTCATTAAACTGAGGAACACAGAAAAGATGTGAAATCACAGCTCTGCCTTCCTGCCAATGTCCAGAAAGATCCAGCTGCACAAATGACACAGAATTTGATATTAGGAGCACTCAATTATTGCCAAAAATATTGAAAACCACTGGGTATTTCCCTCTCTCAAACACCACAGGATTGATGGGATTCAGAGCCCAGGGAACAGCAGAGTGGAGCATCTCTAAATGCATCTGCTTGTGCAGCAACATGTAAATAAACACTGCCTCCAACTGCCTTTGATTTCCTGAGAGATCCCGGTGCAATATTTATGGCTTTTCAAACTTGACGGGTTCCTTTTGATAAGGAATCCCTTCCTAATTGCTCTGGAAGTGACAGGCAGCTCACATCCCACAGGCAATTTGTAACTCCTGAGCAAACAGACACTTAAAACACAGCCCGGGGTGGCTCCTGAGCTTCCCAAAATCACCAACGGAGCCTYGGAGCACAAAGAATCAGCAGCAACAGGCAATTCTGCCTTTCTAATCACACATYGAGCTCTAATTCCTTCAGGAATTTATTATAAATTTCTCCTTTCTAATTTCACCCCCTTTTCATGTAATTTTTGCCCAATTTATCCTGCTTTTTATTCCCCCTTTTAAGCAGATTCAAGATTCTCTTAAACATAGAATATTAYCCAATTTCTGACCTGTATTTGCTGKTTTTAAAGGAAAGGAGAAACTCCWSGAGCTGCAGTCCCAGAGCAGTGACTGACACCTGTCTGCTCACCCACTGCACGCTGGAACCTGATTTTTCTTCATTTCCATTACATTCTCTACACTGCACAGAAATTCTGAGTAATTATTAAAATTAGGCCATGTGCCTAATATTGAAAATCACATTCTCTGGTTGCCTATCTTGGAGCATGCAGATATTTTATCTCTGCCTTTAAGTACAAGAAGCTCTTCTTGATTTTTGATTTTTTTTTAAAGTCTCTTCCATAAAGTCGGGGCTGCCACTTAAAAAGGTCTCTGTGGCTATTATGGGAAAAGCTATTAAAATATCATGATGATGGTGGCCATAAAGCTGAGCAGAAGAATGAAATTTTGGAATTAGTATTGGCCAAAAAATGGGGGGCATTGATCATTTTTAATAAGAACAGTGTGGGTACAATACACTATTATTTTTTATAGGCTTTACTGAAAGTTACAGAGATTAATCCAACCTTTAATGATTGCTATAATTCCTGTTATCACCTACCCTGTCACTCTCAAGCTGGACAGGTGGGAACTGATTTGCAGTGTGAAACAGAAGGGTTCCTGTAAATCGTGATGCACAAAAATCAGGTTCCATCCCACATGGCAAGAGAAAAACATGAAATTATAAAAATGAAAAAAATACTCCCTTTAAACTGTCCCAAACAACCCAAACTGTAACCGAAATAGTAAAGTATTTTGAGACATTTTTAAACTACATCATAAACAATTCAAACCCAGATCAGCAAACACAGCCCTGAGTGCTTGCTTGGCCCCTTCCTTGATCATGCATCTGTAAAATTAAGACAATTTTCTGAATTTTTTTAAAACTCAGTATTTTTTTCCTGCAGAATGGGGAGTGTTGAAGTTTTCCTGCCTGTTTCCTGCCTGCTTTCCCAGACAGAGCCACCAACAGTGAGGCAGATTTTACTGGGAATTTACTGGGAATGGTGAACCTCRCCYAGGACTGGATCTGATGCCACTTTCRAGCTCTTCTCACTTCAACTGCAGTTTTTGGAGTCAGGCTCAKCCCAGCAGGATCAGCTCTGTCTCTCTGTCTCTCTCTGAGCTCATTTCAATTAGGAAATTCTGATAATCAAAAAAGGAATAAGAGCTTGGCATGGTCTGAGAATGGCACCAATATCTGCCCAAAGAAAGGCTCCTCTTCACCTGGCAGCCCAAAATGAAGCCCCCTGTGCCAGCAGGACATCGAACAGGACAGCCAGCATCCAGAGAGGGGATAAAATGAGTCTGGAGGCTGCTAATTACTCATAATTAATCATCAAAAGAGAATAAACCACAGGAAGCAGGGAGTGTGCACAAATGATGCCCACACGGAATGTAAATTCCCTGTGTTTGTGCTGGGAGAGGCTCAGTCACTGCTGATATTGTTACATAAAGTGCTCACACATCACCTGAAGGAATGACTCACACATTTAATCCAGCAGTTTGTTTTCTGGTTAAAGCCACAGAGAGTTAGCCTAAAAATCCTTTCTTTATGAGTGTGTGTGCTTGCTTCAGAAAAGCTAAAGGTCCCTGGGCTTGTTTTAAAACATATTTCAATGTGACCTAGCTAATCCTTTAATACCAGCTTTCACTACCTTTGATCAGCCTCTTACTGCAGCTAGAAGAGATCAGATCAAACCTCTTAAAAAAAAATAAAAAATCAAACTTGGTTGCAGAGAATTTCCTTAGTGCAATGAATTAAAATTATCAACTCCAAGGTTGGAATATTTGCTCAAACAGCTTGGGGGGGATGGCCTGCAGGGCATTTGCCTGTTACACACAGGAAAAATCATTCTCTGCTCATATTTGAGAGATGAGCAGTGTTTTGGTAGATAAAGTGTTCTGATATCCACCAGCTGAAAACATCATCACGTTTGCACATTTATCTTATTTAAACAACACCATGGGTGCCAATTCAGGCTTTTCCCATGCATGAGGTACCATAAAATGCCCAAACCAATATCCCCATTTATTTTTCAAGCACAGAGCATCAGTCCCATGGGTCTGGGGGTTCCCACAGCCAGG